ATTCAATTTATTTTAATCTGGACCTGAAGTAGTGAGGGCTGGCATACATTGTACTTGGAGGTATTAATTTCCTTTAAAAATCAAGAATTCCTGTATTAAAACCATCCAGAATACTGGACTCAGTCTCTAAAACTGCTTCAGTTTTTATCTAATATACTCTCCAAATCAGTAATATGAAATATATTACCTGGGATGCAAGAGTCCTTTAGTGTCCTACTGTGTATTTTGAGTTATTGGACCTTCTTTTTACTCACTTTCAGGACACTTCTCCAAATGATTATTTTAAATCACCACTGAGAGCTCTCCTGAATTCCTCCCAGCATTTCTCACTGCCAGTTCTGAGTTCCTGCAGCCACAGGCTGCTCAAATACCACCTTTATGAGACTGGAGCTCCATCAAATCTTAAGTCAGAGCACGAGAGAGTAAGACTGAAATTGCTATTCAAAATGTAATCTATTCCCTTAAAAATACTGGTGCCAAGATTACAGAAGAGTATACAGAATAGTATTTTCTGACATTCTATTTCCAGAAAAGTAGATAACTTTCAAAATTTAGATTTCAAAATATGCAAAGGCACAAGAAGGAAGGCTGGAAGAAGCACACAATTAGAAATCCCAGCAGGACAGAAGAGCCTGCCAGGAAGCTGAGGCCACACCTGCAGTGGCTGCAACTGCAGGTAACGCCTCTCCCCTGAGCCAGCATACCTGTGCCAGGTCAGAAGTGGTGCAGGAAAAGAAAACAGAAACCAGAAGTTATCAAAGATCCTCACAATTGGTTGGCAGGTTATCAGCAAATAACTCTGCTAAGGAAGCAGGGAGCTGTGTCATCACCCCAGCTGCAGCAAGTTCACAGAGTGAATTGCTGCCTTTAGCTGTCATCTCCACACCAACTCCTGCCCTCCTGTTTTTTCATGGTACTTGGAATCCCCAAATCCATTGGTTCCTGCAGAGCAGGGAGAGCAAGAGTGGCTCACCCAGTGGCTCTGCTCACTGCTCCTGGAAGTAAAGAACACCCAGCCCTGGTGAGTGAACACCTTCTGCTTCTCACAGGCTTCACTGCCAAATCACACAGACAATCTCACAGACAAACAGGAACTGGCTTTTATGCTTAAAGGGTGTTTATGTCTTGCATAATTTATTTGAGGTTCTATCCTGCTTCCATCAAGCTCAAGAATAAGCTCTTACATGTATTTCAAAAGGTAAAGGGTCCAGCTCCTGATCAAGGGGCTTCCCTGGAGAGGTGCCCTGTCAGAGGGTCAGCTGGGGCCAACCCTTTTCTTCCCTCCCTCTGCCTCCCACTCTCCATTCAGTGTGGTTGGAAGTGCAGAGTCCAGCAGATCATGCACAGGGCAGGAGAGCTCCCAGAGGAAAGGAGCAGGACTCATCTCTTCAGAAAAGCAGGTGCCAACACAACTTGCCACTACCCCGTCCAAAAGAGACCAAGAAGCCAAGCAACAGGAGACCATTTTGAAGTGGTGAAGAGAAAAAAATCCAAATTAACCACAGCAAATGCTGATGAACTTTAGGAGATGGGCAAGTGTGTCAGTTCTTTCAGGAGTACAAAAGCTTTGCTGATGGACTGACAGTGCAATTAACAATTAACTGCATCCATACCCAACCCCTCCTGACAGAAGGGAGCCTCTCCCCAAAACACAAATATTTAAGGGTGAGTGCCAGGAGGATGGGACCAGGCTCTTTTCAGTGACAGGACAAGGGGCAATGGGCAGAAACTGATGCACAGAAGTTCCATCTGAATATGAGGAAAAACTTGTTTATTATGAGGGTGGCAGAGCACTGGAACAGCTGCCCACAGAGGCTGTGGAGTCTCTTGGAGATACCCAAAGCCTGCCTGAACACAATCCTGTGCAACCTGCTCCAGGTGAACCTGCAAGAGCAGGGGGTTGGATCAGGTGATCTCCAGAGGTCCCTTCCAACCCCAACCAGTTCAGGATCCTGCAAAACACAAGATGCAGCTCCAGGGGTGTGCAGGGGCTGAGTCAGCACTTCCCATGACAAAATGCACTGCTTCACACAACACTCTGGCCTAGAGAGCCACAGCACAGCAGGAGCCAGGAGAAAGCTGTCACTTGGAACAGCGTAAAGCTTGCAGTTTGTGTCTTTACAATGTTTTACTGTATCAGCTTCTCTGCTACGGGATATTTGAGTGTAGATATGCAGTTTGAATACACAGGACATGTGCCATATACAATCTGACCACAGGATAGCTTCTGGCTGGCAACTGGCTAAATATATTCCACCCAGAAATGAATTTACACCTTTAGATTTGTCAAAAAATTTCCACCTCAACTCCAAAGTGTGGGTAAAATCCTACACTCGAGTAATTGATGAAGTTATCCACAGACTGTGGGATGTCATCCTGAACATCTTTTACTTGAAAAACAGTGATGAGCATGCAAGTACTGCACTTTAATTACAGAGACAAGAGAGAAACAAAGAGTACATTTCAGGACATGCCAAATGCAAGTAAGTTAATTTTCATATGTTTACAGCAGGATGATCTGCTGCTCAGATATATCATACAGCAGGTTTACTATAAACTCTGAATAAAAATGGACACTGTTTTTTGCATTTAAGTAGTCTATCTGGATTTCTGCTTTTCATTTACTGGAACAAATCTGATACTGCTTCCGGAATGAAAGCTTCCCCTGGGGTTAAACAATTCACACAGTGATTTCCAAAAGCTACTTGCACATAGCTTTAATGACGTAAGGTTTGTAAAGGTCAGGGCTGGACTCCTGCAAGGTCTTTGACACAGTCCCCTCCTGCCTCCTCCTGAACTGGAGAGAGATGGATTTGATGATGGGCTGTTGGGTGGATGAGGAATTGGTTGGGTGGTCACACCCAGAGGGTAATGGTCACCAGCTCCATGTCCAGACAGAGGTCAGGGGTCTCTACTGGGACCAGCACTGTTTAATTAATGGCACACACAGTGGGATCCAGTGCAGCCTCAGCAAATGGCACCAAGCCCAGAGGGACTGCTGACACTCCTGAAGGATGAGATGCCATCCAGAGGGACCTGCACAAGCTCAAGAAGTGGTACCACAGGAATGTCATGAGGCCGAACAAGACCAAGTGCTGGTGCTGCACCTGGGTCAGGGCAGCCCTCGGATCCCTGGGGATGAAGGGATCAGCCCTGCCAGGAACGACTCCAGCTGCTGCTGGCGAGGCTGGCCAGGAGCTGGCAGTGTGTGCCTGCAGCCCAGAAAGCCAATCCCATCCTGGGCTGCAGCCCCAGCAGCGTGGGCAGCAGGGCCAGGGAGAGCCCTGCCAAGAGCCCACCTGCAGTGCTGCATCCAGCTCTGGGACCCCCAGCACAGGAGAGATGGATCAAAAGAGGCCACAGAGGTGCTCAGAGTGCTGGAGCACCTCTGCTGTGAACACAGCCTGAGGCAGCCTGGAGAAGAGAAGGCTCTGGACAGACCTTATTGAAGTCCTTCAACACCTGAAGGGAGCCTATGGACAAATGTTTTAGCAGACCCTGCTGGGATGGGACAAGGGGTAAAGGTTTTGAACTGAGAGGGTACATTTAGGTTATACATAAGGAAGACTTTTTTTTACAATGAGGGTGGTAAAACACTGGCACAGGTTGCCCAGAGAGGTGGTAGATGCCCCAAACCTGGAAACATTCAAGCTCAGGTGGGATGGAGCTGTGAGCAACCTGGATGAATTGAAGATGTCCCTTCTCCTTGGAGGGGGGTTGGACTAAATAGCCTTTAAAGGTCCCTTCCAACCCAAACCATTCTGTGATTCACAGTTTCTTACCAATGCTGAAGCCAACCTGGAGATGTCAAAATTAACCCAAGAGATTAAATACTGTTGGACAAGTTAACCTGATTTTGAGTCTATTATTATTTATGTCATCACACATGGATTTTGCCTGTGCTCTGTCTATGAAATAGTGTCTGCAGCCTACAGAAGCAAGCATTGCTAATTACTTGTTCACATGTGGTTTCCATCTATGTTTATTTTGTGGGTATTAACCTGAAATTAAGTCAACACAAAAGAAAAAGAGGAACAACAAAACTGAGTATTTTCAGAGGCAACACAAGCCTCAGTCTCGTGACAGCTGCTGTGCCTTTGCAGAATTTCAAGACACAGACACACATTTTTTTTCCCTTCTGCTGCTATTTCTGTTATGCACGTAAAAGGGAGAAATCAGCTTCCCAGAGAAAATAATGGCTTCAGCTGTGACTGATACAGAACAAATCAATATCCACCTAATCCAGAAACAAGACAACAGGCACACGTTGCATACTGCAAACTCTTCAGTCCCAGAACTCCCACCTCTGCTGCTTTAATTCAGAGGCAGCTGGCACAGCACACTGGAATTTCACTCAGCAGACACTTGAAAGCAAGTGGGGCAAGCACAAGCTCCCTCTCTGTGCATTTCTCTACGTGCACACAAACCTGTCTTCGAGAAATCAAGCATGAGACAGACCCAATGACTTTACTCCAATGAATGTGTCAAGATACCAGGGAAAGAGTGGATAAACATCTAAAAAGCAAGTTACACACTGGGTACCTGCAATGAAATAGGTCTCAGAATCACCCTTCAGTCCCCCACCCCCAATTTGGCACTGAACCAAGTCAGGTCCATGAGGGCTTTACAGTGAATTCAGAGTCTGAAGCTCTTGGTCCACTCACACAACAGGCAACAAAACAGTGACCTGGGATAACAAATCTTGAGAGGGCACATGATCCAGGTGCAAGACAGCCCTGACACTCACTGCCCACCTCATCTCAAAATAGCACAATGTGATCTGGAAAGCAACAGATAAAGATGTTGGGAACTGCCGTGCTGCTGTCCGAGAACATTAATTTAACACAAGTGACCAAAAAAAAGGTGTAGAGAGCTGTGATTTTCAAATTGAAGATGCAGTTTTAAATAATCAGCAGTAACAAAACCAAGTGAATCATCTCACTTATCACCAACAGGCAAACCCAAACCAACAATGGATTCACAGTTGTGGCTAAAGGGTATTAACAGTTTGTGAAAAGTCATGTGGAAACTCAATACTTGTGGTTGAAAAGGATTCAATTCCAGAGATGATTCAGGCATCTTCAGCACAGCTGTAACCACACACTAGAGTATGTTCTGTACCTCAGAAACTGTTTCTAAACTCCAGGATAATCTTCTAAACCTGATGTTCAGGAGTTGTTCTGAAAGAATTGCCCATCCACCCTCAAGGGAAAAAAAATAAACCCAACCCCTCTTAAATCCTCTGCCAGCTAATCTATAAGAGAGCAATTCTTAAATATACTGCGGTGCTGGTTTCAGTTGTAGTGCACATGTGTAACTACAGCCTAAATACCATCACCATTTGCCTGCAGTGCTCCTGGGAAGGCTGGAGGTGAGTGTGTGTGCAGAGCCAGGAGCACAGGTTGGAGTCTGCCAGCAAAGCAGAAGAAGCATGAAGTCTCAGCCATTTTACAAGTACAGGGCTGGTTTTGCACTCAATGGCTATTTGGTGGAATAATAAAACAAAGCTCTCCTGGGGAGATGTCCAAACATAAACCTCTCTGCAGAGAGAAACTTTCTTAAAGGACCCAGCCAACCTCTAAAAGGTTTTGGTAAAGTCTCCTCATATCAGTCTGTTCCTCCATAAGGCAGTGTTCATTTTTGGGTTTCAACATCCCCACTGAGCATGTGACACCAGTTTCTTTCAAATCAGTGTTTGGGATTTTAAACACCACTGGTGTAATTACACCCATCAATTTCTCCAACCCACCAAAGATCTACCCAGTCTTCCAGGTGCACTTAGGAGGAGAGAATGAAGCTGCTTGCAAAATTCTTGGGTATTTTCATGAAGGAAATAATGCCTGTTGAACAGTTCTCACACTCATACAAATTAGCTGCTGTTTGGTTGAATACATTCATATCTGCTATGAAAAAGATGGCTCTATCAGCTGCTTCTTTATGAGCTTGTTCTAAACCAGTGATGTGACAGTGCAAAACTACTTATTTTCTGTTTCATCAAGAAGTAATTCCTTCAGGCATTAAGATGTGACATAAAATCTTTTACTAAATTGAGCAATTTCATTAAGTTTTCTGTGAAGAAAGCAGAATACAGCATGGAATACAAAAGCTGTTGAAATGTGCCGGAGGAATATCATTGGGAAGGTAACAAACTATGCAAGCCATAGGCCTGTATTACACATTTAAAACATTGTCTGAGACATTAAATAACCACAGAAACAGTTTTATATAATATGACTTAGCATCTGTTGCTCAAGAACTCAGGAGCAAACATTTACTCTTGTCTGATTAATATTAGCAACTTAAAAAAAATAAAAGGCATTCTTCTGATGACTGAAATACATTCCCAGGGGGAATTCAAGCACCACAGTTCTTTCCACAGAAAACCTCCAAATAAAACAGGGCCAAGTATTGCCTAGAGAGATTAAACACCAGGAACGCTCTACACAGCAGAGATTCTCACTTCAGGCAATTCACTTTTTCCTGCTTTTGAGGGAGGTGTTGTGAACTCTCACTCTCTTCTGCACGGAAGAAGAGATCTTCAGAGATGCTTTCTTTGTGAGGGACCTTTCCACAGCCCCAGGTTTCCATAGCAACAGCTGAGCATCCTCTCCACCCGTCAGCAGAGACTCATCCGTGGGGCTCCAGCAGAAGGAGCGGACGGTGGCCGAGTGTCCCCCACACAGGGTCCCCACCAGGCTCAGGCCAGCAGTGCTGCAGCTGATCAGGTGGATGTCTCCTGTGGAGGTTCCCCCAATCAGGAAGAGCTTCCCTGCCTTTTCGTGGTACAAGCCACCCACCAGGTAATGCAGGCCGTGGTTTTCAGCGCAGACTGACTCTCTGACATCCAGAACGTGCAGCAGGGTTATCGGCTCCTCGGTGTCCAGCTGAGCCATGTCCCACCAGCAGAACCCCTCATCGTGTGTCATGCAATAGACCTGTTTGTAGTCCTCCCCAGACCAGCCAAGAGAACTCACGGATGAATCTGAATTGCAAGTTGATATCAAAGCATCATCTTCATTATCCTTGTTGATGTCAAACACGTTCACCAAGCCATCGGTTGACCCAGACACGACCAAATTGGGTTCGTTAGGATGAAAACAGATTTTGGTGATGTCATCATTGTGACTTTCAGAATAGACTCCCAAGGGCTCTTTAGCGGCACTGGCACAGTCTGTAACTCCTCTTGCATCCCAAAACACCAGAAACGTGTCCTTTTCAACTTTCTCCGTTCCGGCACAAACGATGAGGTCGCTGCAGCTGACGTCGAAGCTGATGAAGACGTTGGAAGGATAACCACTGAACACCTGCACGGGCTTCTGCGTGGCTGAGCGAACATCCCAGCACTTGACGGTGCCCTGGCTGCAGGCTGAGAACACCACGCTGTCGCACGTGTGCGCAAACCTGACCCCGCTGAGGACGCCGGCGTGGCCGCGGTATTCCCGCAGGAAGCCCAGCGTCTCCCTGTCGTACACCCTGATGGATTCATTGGAGCAGGAAACGGCCACCAAGCGGCTGCCCCCGGGCTGGGCAGCTCTGGAGGTGTGGATGTCCAGCAGGTAGGCGGGCTCCTCGCTGGGCACGCAGCGCCTGGCTATGCGCAGCCCCGCCAGCTGCTCCTCCACCTTCTCCAGTGCCGTCATCTCACCAGAAACCTGCAACAAATAAAAGCCAAGGAGAGCTTTAATTACAACATTCTTCAACAGTGTTACCTTTAAAAAGACTTACAAGGAAACATCTTGCGCAGAGGTGATGCACGGAGCTAAAATTCAATTATCCCGATGTCCTCCCCACCACAACTCCATTCACAGGAACACAGGACAGGAAAGGCTCCCCGATCCAAGGAGCTCAGTCTCTCGTGTCTGTAAGCACTACACCAGATAATCCCCTTAACAGATTAAACAGTCTATCTGGGAATCCTGGGGAAGTCACTTAGCTAAATTTGCTTTATTATTTTTATAAAGGAACACGATGTTCTCCACAAGTGGAAACAAAATGAAGTCACCCCCTCTACCTGAGGAGAAACAAGTTTTGTTCTGGGAAGCACAGCCCACAAACAGTGAACTTCTGTGCTGAGGGACATGCCCAGAGGAGGCAGAGAACAAGACCAAAATTACACAGCACTACAGCCTGAAATGGCCTGGTGAGGTAATTTTACAAGTATTTAGGTGCCCAATGACGCAGAGAAACACCTGCCAGCATTTCAGGGACCACCTAAACAGGAGATGTGACCTGTGGAATTCACTGCAATTAAGCACTTTGGTGTTTTCTGAGCCTCCTGTAAAACCACAGAACACTGACTTTTAGTGCAGCTGATAAAAATCTTCCCTTCAGAGGCAATTCCTCTCTGGCACTACTGAACCCTTCTAGAAACCCAAACTATTTCAGCAATGCACACAAATGCAAACTTTACCCAGCAAAACCAAAATTAAACAAAATTCTTTTGGATTCTCTCACAGATTCACTTTGAAAATATGCCCTAAAAAAAAATAAAAACTTACTTTTCCTTTCTATAACACAACAGAAACTTCTATTCTGTAATTGCAGTAAAGACTCCATCAATTCAGAGTCAGGAAAAGCACAGCAGCATTTACACTTTAAAGGGATATTTGCAATGGTTTTAGTGGTTCACAAAGTACAACCACTTTTTAAAGGAAGATGTAGGTATGTTACTACAGTCATCCACTTCTGTCAAAAACACAGGTTCAATGAGACCACTATTCTGCATTTAAAAAGAATACAAACCAAAACATTCAGGGAATGACAGCAGGTTTTAAGGGGTCAACACTCCAGTGATTTCTCACTGGTACTGATATCTCCTTAAGGTCTGGACCAGCAGCCAATCCCAGGTACTATACGCATGAAATGACCCTTAAAAAAAAAAAAAAAAAAACCAAAAAACAAAGAGAAATGGAATAAAAATCAGGCAGACACAGAATGTGAGAAAATATTCTCATGCCTTCCCAGCTGTTCTATCATCAATTTTTCTGCAAATTCTCCAGGCTGGATTTTTAGAGGTGGAATGTGCAAGCTTCCATGTATTACTTTCTTTAGTTGCCATTATTTTAACTGCCCATGAGAGACTAAAAACAAAAGAGAAGTTGCTATGACAAAGCTGCATTCTGATTTTTTTTTTCTTCTTGGAGTTGTTTGTGGTTTCAAGGGTTTGCTTTCCCTCCTCTGGTTTGGTGTACACAAATATTCATGACACCATGTGACAAACCAGCAAATTCTTAAAAAACAGCTTAAGCAGGCACACATAAAAACTTAATTCCCAAGTCACAAATAATCTCACTAAGCGATTTGCTTCAGCAATATCCTGACAATGAGGTCCCCAGGTTGATCTTCTACATCAAAGCAACCTTTCAGAGCACATCTACCAGTCATTTTTGCCATAAAATGCAGACATCCTGTGGAAACTCCTTCCCCCTCTGAAGCAAAGAAGTTCAACGTGTTTTCTGGCATTACCCTGTGCACAACCTACCCACAGAACTTGTTCCTTCCTTACTTTTCTGGGTATGTCCTCAAATGAAACAAGCTTTTACTAGAACTATTACATAAAGCCAACTGCTCTCAAATGCTGTTTGCTATGCTGCTTGAACACAAAACTGTTAAACAGCCATGCAAATGAATAATATTAACTGAAGAAATAAAATATTTTTAACATTATTAATTAGGAAAACTGCTTAATTCAATTTACTGAAGAATTACAATGGAAGCTTCTATTTAAATAGAGTTTCAAACACACATGCTTGAGGGTGGAGAAAGGAGTTTTCATAAACCAGCTCTCCTGCAGTGCTATGGTTACTAAAAAAATCTAGTTCTCTCTGTAAATTTCTTGTAAGAAAAATATAGTTTTCCAAGCTGACCTGAATTTAAAGCTCTAAATATTCAGACTTAGTCTGCTCAAAAGGCCAAGTAAACCCAAACAGACACGTTCCTGACAAATGTCATCCATTTGGAAGGCAAGCTGCAGTTGTTTAAATATTACTGACTATGATAGAGAGTATCTTTCAATAAGCAGTTTCTACAACACTCATGTCAGAGCTTTTACTGCTGGGGAAGGTGAGGGAACTCTGCAAATACCCAGCAGCTGTAAAAAGCCAGAGTCTGCAAAAGGAGGTTCATTCAGTTTTAATAATATTTTCTGGGAAATAAAATTAGCTCAACACAACTCCTAAGCTTTTGCCCAGAATGACTTAAACTACAGCTATTCTGAAATACCAGAAAATGATGTTCATGTTTTCAGACAGAAATGCAATTTCTGCCATCAGGAAGGTGAAGGTTCAATTCTATTTCCACTGCAACAACTCAGACTTGTGTTCGATGGCAGCCAGGTTTTTGCTAAAAACTCAGTAAAATGTCTGCTTTAGCAAGAAAATCTTCAGACTATTATGAAATTGTGATTGAAGGTTATATAAACAATTCATGCTCAAACTTCAGGGTGTAGCTGCCAGCCCTTCCTTTTCAGAAGGGGAAGTCACTGTTGTATTTTGATGGGAAAGTTTAAATGGCAGGAATAGGATCTGTGTTAAATTTATGAGACAAATAGGAAACAATGGTCTTCCAAACACAATAGAAGATAACTAAGCACTGGACTGCAGCCACCTACAGAGCACATGGTCCTCTGCACTGAAGCACTTTCAGTTCCTTAAGTTCAACAACAGAGGTATCTGTTTTCCAAAGAATCCTTTGGCAAAATCAGAGTCTTTGAAACATTTGGGACACAGCACAACAGCCAGTTGTGATGATCAGAGAGAAGAACTTTGTTTGTATGACAAAGTCTCTGACACAAAGACTCTTACCAACAGCTTGCTCTTGGACTACTCCAGTCTCAGAAAAAAATCACAGAGGGCACTGGCCAAAAGCTCTTCTTTCCCCATGGATCCTCCTCTGCTCAGAATGTGAGTTAATTCATTAAATTCAGGTTTTTCAGTTTCTCCAGCCAAGTCTGGATCTATAGTCTCAACACTGACAAAATCCAGGGGACGTCAAGGTGCCAGGAACCTCCACCAGTGGGATGACACACCAGCACCTGGCTGAAGGTGTCTGGCTCTGGCACTCACTTGTGCTTGACCCAGAGGTGAATCCCATCCTTAGGGATCACCATGCCTTACGTGGAACAGCTGAATCTTTCAGCTGCATCCACACCTGCACCCCCCGAGCCAGGAAAAGCCACTTTTTATAAATTAAACCTGAAACTTCTATCAGACCTGGAACAACACTCAGATGGATGTGTTCTATGAATTAAGTACACACTTACATGCAACCCCTGCACATCTCCTGGATACCACAACTACCAGAAACAATAAGCTTCTGGAAGGACACTCAAAACTCATTACATCTTGGGAACTCAGAAAAAATACCATTCTCTGAAATAACTTAAAAAATTTTGACCTCCAGGGCATCCTACAAGGCTCCTTTAAAAAAGAAATAAACTCAATGTTTAGAATAGAAGGCACGAAGTGGAAGTGATGCCAAAGAGGCAGGACAGGATTTCCAGATGCCTTTGTTATGTGCTTTTTACTGGTGGAGTGTGGAAACAACCACACAGCAAGACTAGAAGCAGACAGCTGTGCTAAAGGCAGCCCTTTCCAATGGTGGAGAAATGAAAAGCAAACACCTATCTGCACAAACTAAACTTAACATTGTCCCAGCACTTACTGCTGTGCTGTTTGACTAACATTCTAATCGTTGCAGCTTCAGTTCAAGCCAACAGGCTCATCAGTCCTCTTCAATCCAGAATGTTTTTCAAAAGATAAACCAGCAAATCATAAGTTATTTCCCTTTTCCTTTGAGTGGTGTACAGAAGATGCTGCCAAGTTGCATAGTTCTCCTTTCCAAAAGGGAATGTTAGCTCAAAAATATACAGAAACACAGCTTTTCCTTTGAAAAATACAAGGAAAAATGTGGAAAAATGGCACATTCTCAAAGATTTAATCACTAACGTAAGAGTAACTTACGAGTAGGAGGGCAGAAACACGTAATAAAAATGAAAAAGACCTGTAGTTCTGGCAATCTTCTCTGCGAGGTCAAATACCAAAAATAGCAAGGGATCCGAACAGCAGCAGATGAAATCTTGAACTGTTCTTTTCTACCACAAACAATACAAACAGACCCTCCCTTTATTTTCACAATTATTACAAGTTCCAGAGCAAGCTGAGAACAAACCCAGAGCTCTGAGCAGCGGGAGGCTGCTCGTGCATGCACAGGACATGTGGATTGCACTGGGGAGCAGAGCTGCCAGGGCAGGGAGAACACAGCAGTGCTGCACTGCCCCAGTGCAGGGAGAGCACAGCAGTGCTGCACTGCCCCAGGGCAGGGAGAACACAGCAGTGCTGCACTGCCCCAGTGCAGGGAGAACACAGCAGTGCTGCACTGCCCCAGGGCAGGGAGAGCACAGCAGTGCTGCACTGCCCCAGTGCAGGGAAAACACACAGCATTCTGCAGAGACCTCTCCCCACTGGCACCACTCCCCAGCAGAAGACAGACCAGCACATGACCTGAGCACAGAGGGGAAGCACAAAAACCCCTCAGGAACGCTCAGTTTCTCCAACACGCACTCTCCCATAGCTGGGTTTGTTGTTTCACCCAAGCAGAGTGAGAAGGGGTTTTTCCAGCATTCCCATAAAGCCTGCTGAAGGCAAAGAGCATT